AGAGAGAGAGAGAGCAAACTGGGGAGGGGCAGAGAGAGAGGGAGACAGAGGACCCAAAGCAGGCTCTGGGCTGACAGCAGAAAGCCCGATCAGGACTCGAAATCATGAACCGTGAGATCATGACCTGAGCCAAAGTCGAACCGCTCAACTGACTGAGCCATCCAGGTGCTCCTCATGCACTTTCAATCATAAGCCAAGTGATTTTGTCATCACACGTCAGATGCCTCTCCAAATAGATTTTCGAAGAAAGCACAAAAGTGACAACTTTGGAGAAATCTGTTTTAAGAGCCCCAGTCTCAATCAAGTGAGAAACATGCTCATATAGGTGACCAACCAGGAGCTTCAGAAGATTAAAACATGAACCAGCTTAGGGATTTCCTTTTGCTGCTGAGGAAGTAACACACACGTCAAGACTTTTCATTATAGTTCCACCTTTCACAGAAAATTTAATTTTGAAAATAGCAATGGAGTAAATCTCATGACATCAAATCTATGTAGGGCTTTCATACAGTGGCTAATATACATAATGTACTTCATATTATGATGGTATGTAGTTGGCTGGAAACAAATGTTTGAAATGAAAATAGAGGGGGAAAAGAACTTAAATGATTTCTTCTCCTCTCTCCTTCTTGGTACCCACTTTCTAATCCAGTATGACAACTCTCCATACTCCAACCAAGGAAAAAAAAATTTGTGAAAAAAGAGATGGCCCTAGGAGAGAAGGAAGTCCTGCAGCTCTTCATATTTCTTTTCTTTTTTTTTTTTTTTAATGTTTACTTTTGAGAGACAGAGACAGAGCCCGAGCGGGTAGGGGCAGAGAGAGGGAGACACAGAATCGAAAGGAGGCTCCAGGCTCTGAGCTGTCAGCACAGAGCGCCACGCGGGGCTCGAACTCAGCAACTGCGAGATCATGACCTGAAGTCAGACACTTAACCCACTGAGCCACCCAGGAGCCCCCTTTTGTCAAATAAATAAATTTCAAATGGATATGCTCTTTCCCCAACAACAAATAAGCAAATAAAAGACCCAGATTAATAAAATAGTACAAAAAACAAAGCAGGTTTAACCACAAAAATGAGTACTTCAAGCTGTAGAATCTATCCCAAGTTTCACTAAAGTTTAGTGAGCTTTATTTAATTGGAATGATTTGTGTGTGGAATAGACCCAAAGTAGAAGGCCAAACTAAATAAACTCTAAAAATCTGTTTTTTTATGATTATATAATGAAAGCATGTTTTCTATACATATTTAAAGACTTACTTATTATATAATAAACAATCAGTGTAACTTAATAATAGCTTTTAAGGGCACCTGGGTGGCTCAGTCGGTTAAATGTTTGACTTCGGCTCAGGTCATGATCTCATGGTTCGTGAGTTCATGGCCCGCATCAGGCTCTGTGCTGGCAGCCCAGGGCCTGGAGCCTGCTTCAGATTCTGTGTCTCCCTCTCTCTCTACCCATCCCCCACTTGTGTTCATTTTCCCTCCCTCTCTCTCCCTCCCTTCCTTCCTCCCTCAGAAATAATAAATGAATAAACTTAATAGCTTTTAGTAAAATGGTACACTTAAACCCATTATTTCCACAACAAAGAAAACCACTATGGATGGACAGAAGGATGGACAGACAGATGAATAGACAGAAGCTCCAAATATCATGAAGGCAAAAGTATTCCTAAAGACTAGTGAAAGGATTAATATTTAATATCAAAACTCTCACAACAAATATTGCCATTTAGCATTTAGTGATAAAAAGTCAATGTACTTAAAGTTAATTCTAAAAAAGAAGCATGGATGAGTGAGAGCATATAGTAATTAACTGTCTTGCCTCACACCTACAAGGAATTTCCACTTGCTCTAGAGATATGTGTATGAGATACACACACACACACACACACACACACACACACACACACACACACACGTACCTATCTGTATATAAAGAGAGGGGGTATCACTTACCTCTGTGTCTCTGAACCTGTCTTCATAGTCCAATCTGTCCTTCTCTACAGCCGTCAGTTTCAGCTTCAAGTTAGAGATTTCAGCCATCAGATCCAACTTCTGAGTCTCTAAGGATGTCCTACTCAGAAGCTCCTATTAGAATTTAAGAGATACATTCAAAAGTTGTTTTATTATCAGTAGTCACATATGGATATGTCTCACAACTGTGAAGTGGTTAACTATCCAGTTGGGAAAGATTAATTACTAAATAGATAAAATTTGAAAAAATTATTTGCTTTAACTTTCATTGAGCAGAACTAAACACACACCGGCTTATTGGGGAGACATACATTATACAGATACATACATACATATATATCATAAGCCTTAAATGCTGCCAAGCCTGATTATAACACCGATGACGACATGTTTGCTGAGCAACAGGCACCGTTCTGACATGTTTTAAGTGGTTCGATCCTCAAAACAACCTTATGAAGTAAAAGCTCCTAAAGGTAACTCATGAATTATCCTCATTCAACAAATAAGGAGGGTGAGGAACAGAGAGATTAAGAACTCTCCTCAAGGAAATGGCAGAGATAAGACTCAAACCAAAACAGTCTCCTTCCAGGGTGTCAGAGTGTACCCTATACATATTATAGGTCCTCTCAAATATGAGCACTGTGTGTGTGTGTGTGTGTGTGTGTGTGTGTGTGTGTGTGTGTCTGTATGTGTACATAAATTACAAGTTGGTTTTTTGGGTGTTTTGTTTTGTTTTGTTTTCAGTTAAAGGTACTTACCTTTTTTCCTAATCATGCACTATATGCTCATGGATGGGCGTTAGGAAACCATATGAAAGCATAAAGAAGAACATTAAAATTATCTACAATCCTATCAGTATTTTATTCCAGACTGTAATTACGTGAAGTTTTAAGACCCCGCTACTCTAGGTTTTTGCTTAAACTATGCCGGTCTAAGTGAGTCATGAGATTTACTGCTGCATCAGAGTGAACACCACACATAAATGTAGCATTTCAAATAGTTGAGCAAGAAAATCGCACCTTGGTGCCAGCTTCTGTACATTACCTGCTGCAGCATTTCTTCTGTGGCGTTCAGCTTCTCCCTGTGCTCTTCAAGACAAAACTCCAAATCTCGAATCTTCTCTCCCTGAGCCTCTACCTGGTCTGTTAACACACTTACCTGTATTGAGAGCAAAATACTGCAATGGATTAGGAAGAATGTGGGTCCCACTGCAAACTTTATTTCTCTAAATAGAAAAAAAACTGGAATGATGTCACTACTCATTTGGTTGTAAAGGAAAAACCTGTGAATTTGTAAGACAGCGGTCCTTTACACTCCTACTTCAGATGCTTGTTGATCTGAGGACTCCAATTTTTAAGGAGGTTGGGGTGATTGGGAATGTGTGATACCTTATATTCATAGGTTAAAATCATTTCATTTTATGCGAGAGGGCATGTTAACAAATCATCTTTTTCGGGGGGTGGGGTGGAAGAGGGAAATAATACTAGAAATTAAGATAGACAATGGAGTTAATGTCTGAAAGAGAAGGACTATTCAGGTTTGGTACTTCACGAAGAATAAAGAAAAGGATCCACAGAACTCAAATTCCATGAGATCTTTCATGATCACATTGTCTACATATGTGTTCCAATCTAGGATGTAACTCAAAGATCCATAAGGAGATACTGGATTAGTCTTTTATCTTCAGTGGTTATTGAAAATCTGAGTCTTTCCCCAACAATCACCAGCCTAGTAAATACACTGCAAATCATTTAGCTCAATACCAAAAATATATACATATATATGTATATATATATATACACACATATATGTATGTATATATATGTGTGTGTGTGTGTGTATATATATATATATATATATGGGTATATATATATATATTTTTTTTTTGTCAAGCATTTAAAACACTACAAAGAAAAGAACTCAAATTTGGCTAATAAACCAGACTCCACTACTCACTTTATGTTTTGTTTGTCTCATGGTATCATTTTTAAAATTGAAAAATTAAACATATTCCAAATAAGAAATATGCATACTTATGAATATATATAGTATATATGAAATTATAATATCTGCTGTATATTTAAAAAATCAGATCAAATAAGATGACAGATCAGATCAGAAAATCAGTTTAGATGACACCGTGCCTGCCATCAGAGGAGCCAAGGCGGATTCTAGGTCACTCTAGACTAGGTAGGCAAACCCTGTTCTCCCACAGTACCCACCTCTCCCTGTTTTGTTCATCAGATGGCCTATGCACTTACTTCTGGTAGCAGTCTGGCTCCTGTAAGCATCTGAATACACCATCCCAATTTAAAATGGTCTTTGTAAATACATCATGAAGAAAGAAGAACATTTTAAAATCACTTGCCTGAAGAACGAGAGATTCTTTATCATTTTCTAAACGGGCTAGCCTTTCTTGATACACCTCTCCATTCCCAGGCAGGTGTCCATTTGTCTGAAAAATAAAATAAAATAAAATAAAATAAAATAAAATAAAATAAAATAAAATAAAATAACGTGTGTAAGGCTCAACTCTCTTTAAAACTAAACCGCTGTGGGCAAACAAAATTGCATATGTTTTTAATCCAAGGAACCTGAATGGACTTGGGCACAGCTGTTGCTGTCATTAACAGAAAATATGAGATTGCAACTTGGTTCATTTAGCTTAAAATAGGTAAAACAGGCATGTCAGGCATTTAGGCATGTTATCACCAAACTAGACAACTTCTCATCAAGCAGAAAATCATGACCTAAGAGGGGTGGTGGCTACTAATATTTACTGGCAGGTGGATACACACCCAAATCATGCAAAGCTTCACATGTGTGTGATCAGGCACAAAACCCCTATTTCCCCCCAAATGCTCAGTGCCACTAATTCTGGGTGGAGACAGTGGGAATTTCCTGGGACACCCTTCTGTTCTTCCCCTCTCCTCCCCCCAAATTCCAAATCCAGGACTGTAAATGCCTGCTTTACATGGGAGGCAGCGGGGACAGCTCACACAAGCTTCTTCCCTGCTACTCACGTCCAAATCACAGGGCTAGTCTTCCCTCTGTCTTTGAAACCTTTCTTTCTTCCCCTGCAAGCTTTGCAGTCAGTCCACCGTGACTTTCCCTGGCAGCACTGACTAGCCATCCTCATCAGCAACTCACCAATTTCCATCCTGACTTCATTAACTTCTTGTGAGATTGCTTGGTCCTACAATGATGCCCAGCTCCTCCTGCCAGAGCCTGTAAATGGGCATCCTACAACCAGAGCACTTGGCCCAGGGCTCTGCTTAGATTAGTGCTCACTGTCTTCCCCTCCCTCTGGCACCCATGTCTTTTCTTATCAGATTCAGATGTTTATGCGTGGCATAAATGCCAAAGGAAGTATAGATTGGGGAAGCAAGTCACATTTTTTTTCTCATCAGTCTCATATATGAAAGTCATTAAAGAGGCACATGAAAAGGCTTGCAGAGAACAGACAACATAAAAACATCATTTTGAAATACAGTATATGTGGTACGTCCCTTGTTATCTCATTTAAATACCTCATAACCATATAATATGTAATCCCAATAGAATTTCTTGATTCCTCATTGAAGTACAACAGAAAGAAAAGCCACTGGAGCTCAAATTGGTTAGATGGGGCCATCCAGAGTTCAATCAAAAAAGCAAATGACTTCAGATTTAGAATCAGAGAAAATACAAACTACAGCCTAACCACCCGGGACCCGGCTAATGTGACATCCATTATTTTCCAGAATTAATTGGTACTATTATTCTACCTTCCCAAATAATGTAGTTTCCAGTACAAATTGTGGGGATAACAAAAGCCATCTGTTGAGGAGAACACACACACACACACACACACACACACACACACACACACACACACAGAGGAGCTTTCATAAAAAACGAAATTTCAAGATGTTGCTTCTAAAAACTTAGATGCACTGGATATATTTCCCATGAGGCAACTAAAGAATCAGAAGCTAATTTAATAAGCCTACAATGTGTATTTAGAATGGATAAAATTTTTAATATCAACTGCTGGACCACATACCTGCACAATTACCACAGCATAATTCTGTTCATATTGTAAACTGAAGGACCCAGAATTAAATTACAAGTACTATGAAGAGTCAGATGGAATAGCCTGGAAGACTTTCAACCCTGGGGACCACCGTGAAAATGAAATTTATGTAACTTTTTTTTTTTTAGCGTTTACTTATTTTGAGAGAGAGAGCACATGCATGTGTGCATGCATGTGAGCAGGGGAGGGGCAGAGAGGGGGTAGAGAGAGAGAATCCTCGGTGGGCTCCATACTGTCAGTGAGGAGCCCAACACAGGGCTCAATCTTACGAACCCTAAGATCATGGTCTGAGACAAAATCAAGAGTCAGATGCTTAAGTGACTGAGCCACTCAGGTGCCCCAAAATTTATGTAATTTCTTGAGGACATTTTTTGGAAAAGAGCCAGGATGTATATAATACATGTCCTCAATCTAAGGAAGTACTCAGACTGGCCCTGTATAGCTTTAAATTCCTCGTTCTGATTATGAACACTAGCAGGCAACTGCTTTTAAAGCCCCACGCAAGCAAATCTTTATAAACTGATACATTTCATTAGATGGACAAAAAAAAAAAAAAAAAAAGGTTTCTGTTCAATGAGGACAAAAAGCAAAAGTCATTATTCCTTCTGACTGAAGGAAATTATAGAAAGATTAGAAGTGTTTCTATAGCAAGTCCTACAAATGTTTTGTGAAGCTACTACATATGATATGGAAAGGAGAAGTTCCAAAATCAGTATCACAAAATTATCTTAAAATCACAATACTAGGGGCACCTGGGTGGCTCAGTTGGTTAAGCGACTCTTAATTTCGGCTCAGGTCATGATCCCCCAGTTTGTGGGACTGAGTCCTGCCTCAGGCTCTGCACTGGCAGCGGAGACTGCTTGGGATTCTCTTTCCCTCTCTGCCCCTCTCCCACTCCTCCCTCTCTCCCTCTCCCTCTCCCTCTCTCTCAAAATAAATAAACTTAAAAAAAATTAAATTACTAAAAATTGACTCACAATGAACACTCACACTTCTCAAGACTACTGATATTTATGAGTGTTCATAATGTTTGAGTAATCAAAAAAAAAACATTAAAAGTCACTATAGCAAAATGAAGCAAAAGTTAAGAGCCACCAATGGAGTAGTTGCATAATTTTAAAGTCCTGTGTTGATCTATTCAAGTAGGTAAAGGTCTATTTTGTTCACACATTTATTTATATTTCTGCCAATTTTGTTACCTTTGCCTTATAAATGTTAGAGGTAAATTGCATTGGGCAAATATCCTACCACCTCTTTTTTCCCTCCGACTCTCATGCTCTGCCTACCAGACCACTCAAAAGCCAAACATGGCATGCTCTCTCACACACTAATTCTGTTCCTTCTGCATGGACAGTATTTCCCACCCTTTCCTCATTCTTTAAAGTCCAGTTCAATTAGAGCTTCGTCTGTCAAGTCTTCCTTGAATTACCTGTTCACTCACATGCCAGTTACAACATCCGGATGAACCCTCACCACAGCAGGCATCATACTGAATGGACTAGGTTATACTTGGCTACACATACGTCCCTCTCTTCCAACAAACTGCATTCTTTGTGAGTATGTCTGTCTTTGCATCTGACATACAATGAGCACGAACCAAATGAGCTGAATGAACAATGAGGGGTGTTCGATAAACATCCGATGAATGAAAGATGAATGAACGCTTGGTTTTAACTTGGCTTTCTTACATCTCAGCAAGTCTTTCATTCATGTTTCCCTACAACCTGGTATGTCCTCCATGGTCAACTTCAAGTCTGTATTGTCTCTTCCTACCATGTTTAGGTGTTCCCAGAGCCTTTTTACTGGACTTTAGTAATTGAGACTATCTTGCATGAACCCCCTTATGTAATGTGTTCTCCAAAGCATAATGTATATACTGCCTCCAACATCTTTCCTTTCTTTCCCCCTGCCAATCTTGGGGGAATTGAGTCTTAACTCCTTCTAAAAGCTCATCATTGGGGCACTTAGGTGGCTCAGTTGGTTAAACATCTGACTTCGGCTCAGGTCATGATCTCACGGTTTGTGGGTTCGAGCCCCATGTCAGGTTCTGTGGTAAGAGCTCAGAGCCTCGAGCCTGCTTCATATTCTGTGTCTCCCTCTCTCTGCCCCTCCCCCACTCATGCACGTGTTCACTCTCTCTCTCTCCCTCTCTCTCAAAAATAAACATTTTTAAAAAAACTTTTAAAAAAAGCTCATTATTCCACATATACTTTGGAACCTTAATTTCCTGCTTCTCTGAGACTCACAATGATCACCTCTATCCTTACCATTCTCAATTTCTTCCTCTTAATGAACTATCTTCCATTCTCCTTCTCCAACATCTACCCCAAGGCTTTGTGTCCACCACTCTACTCACCTCCCCATTCCTTTTTGCCTCTACAAATCCATCTTTCAAAGTTCCTACCAATCCAGTTCCTACCCCCTCATATTGTGCCATATTCTCTTCTCCCCCTCCACAGGCTTCCCTTCTGTGTCTGGTCTTGTCCTTCACAATTTAGCTTTTCATCATATTCTGCCATGGATAGTTTATTAGTGATTTTATGACAGCTGGTCACTTATTCTTCGTAACAGTCCCTCAGTGCAAAAATGTCGTACATTTCTTTTGATTCTCCCAAGATTCTTATAAAATCATGAGCACATGGGGCACCTGGGTAGCTCAGTCAGTTAAGCGTCTGACTTTGGCTCAGGTCATGATCTCATGGTTCATGAGTTTGAGCCCCACATTGGGCTCTGTGCTGACAGCTCAGAGCCTGGAGCCTGCTTCGGGTTCTGTGTCTCCCTCTCTCTCTGCCCCTCCCCTGCTCATACTCTCTCTCTCTCTCTCAAAAAGTAAATAATAAAACATTTCTTTAAATTTTTTTATTACTTTTTTTTTTTCAACGTTTATTTATTTTTTTTGGGACAGAGAGAGACAGAGCATGAACGGGGGAGGGGCAGAGAGAGAGGGAGACACAGAATCGGAAACAGGCTCCAGGCTCTGAGCCATCAGCCCAGAGCCTGACGCGGGGCTCGAACCCACAGACCGCGAGATCGTGACCTGGCTGAAGTCGGACGCTTAACCGACTGCGCCACCCAGGCGCCCCTAAATTTTTTTATTTCTTAAAATTTACATCCAAATTAGTTAGCATATAATAAAACATTTTTTAAAAATTAAAAAAAATGTAGCATATAATTAAAAACATATTTAGTATAAACTCCTGTTGAGTCAATTGGGCATCCAGAGCATCGAACACCAGCCCAAATTACCTTACTCAAAATCCCAGAGATGCCTTCAGAATAACTCTTTCTACTTTAACTCATGATGCAACCCTTTACTGACTACATTTAGTCCACCAGAAAGTTTAAGTCAAACTTGGAATCAACGTGGGGGTTTCAATACC